CGCGAGTCCCCCTTACTGCTGCTTGGTCGATTAGTAGGATGATGGTCGATTAGAATGGTCGACGTTTGCATCGATTTTTCATGTTCCATTTAATCTGTATGATTATTTTGAGATTGACTCATTTGGTATGATGTTCGTGTTGCGACAGGTTTTTTTCCTTTTTTTACAAAAGCATCCCATGCACAAGAGTGAGCATGTTTTTCTAGGATCTTAAGTAATTAGCGTCACAAACAATATTTTTTCTTTTCTATTTTCTTATTCTTTTCATCTATGTCTAAAAAATGCATCTTGTTGAAGTGAAGTCGAGGAAAAGAAAATTATATTTTTCAAAACGCATCCCACACGGAAAGGAGTGACCATGCGTGGTTAGTCATTTCGCTACAATCGACATATCGGGTCTGCTGGTCATAGCAAGGGGTTAATCATCTACGGTCTAGGGGCCGACTAACCTCTCCCTTAGGCTTCGGCCGAGCTTCCTGATCAGTCTGTAAATCCAGGGATAGCGGTGTCGGGGTCGAAATCTCCGGCGTAGCCGTAAATGCTTCGCGCTGCCATACTGCGCTTCAGCACTTGGTCTGGAGGTATGGTCCTTATAATTAATCAATTAACGAAAAAATCGAAATAAGTTAAATAAAAATAAATAAGAATATAAAAAGAAACAGTCCGATGCCCATAGTAGATAAACGTTTTGAGATCAGGAGGAATCTTAAGTGCGCATGCGCATTGAATGAGGGCCGAACAGATTTCATTATTTCAAAAAGTTTTTACCCTTTCAAAGTATGGTTAAAAAACKTTTGTTCAAAACGTGCTTTACTTACCATCATTGGTTGGTTGGACCATGTTTGATTGACTCGTCACTCATCTTTACATATTATTCACTGCAACTCGTAGTTTCGTAGCCTTGGTGCAACATTCGTCCATTTTTATCACTAGAAAGTAACGTATAATAAAAATTAAGTGTATGTGTTTATTTGTGTAGCGTTACTATACGAGGTCATTGTATTTTTTGGGCTGTACCAAATGAAGTTCCTAGTTGGTTGGTCAATCTGCCTAAACGTCAATTGTATGGTCGAATGCAACAAAGGATGGAAGACTTATTGGGCCGATACAGCAGAAGGTATGTTCATCTGTCATTTATTTAAAACACTTGTTCTCTAAGTATATTCTCTGGTTTCTAAACCGTCCAGATTTATCTGGTGTGTTATTCTATTCAATTTTCTCTTGAGGTTTGTTCACTGGGACGTCAACAACGAAATGCTTCACGGTAGTTTCTTTGCTGATCGTTTCGATAAGTCAATCAGAGAATGGATGTTCAAAAGAGCAGCTGAACTCGATGCTGATGCTGATTTGTTCATCAATGATTTTGATGTAGTGGAGAATAGCCAAATGACGGAGGTAAGTACGTAACTGGGATTATGGAGTTGATTGTTGCTGGGAATGTTTATCATTTATTGTCAATATTATAACCATACGCCCGGCACCATGCATCATCTTCGTCACCATCACCATCATCATCATCACAATCATCATCATCGGTAGCACCTCATCATCACTCTTATCATCGTCATTATCATATTACCATCATCACTAACATCACCAATGACAATGTCATTCTCATCGATATCATCATCAGCAACATCAAATTATCGATACATCGCTGTATATTATATATATTGTACGTATCTTATTTAGCAGTTTATTATTGTTAATATCTGCTCAAAGTGGTCCTATTTTTTCTCGTTTCTAGCTCCTGGTGGAACAAGCTAAGGAGTTGATAGACAGGGGTGTGGACGTGGATGGAATAGGCGTACAGGGACATTTCACAGGCTCTATTAACCCAGTGCTTCTGAGGGTACGTAAGTCTAATCAAAACAAGTTGTCAGTTATACAACTCTTTAGCTTGGGAGTAATGTTGAATTTCAGACCACGTGTCATTCCCTAGAATATCGAAACTTCTTCATTGAACGTTTGCGCATAAAAAGACACATGGATCTGGATAATAATACTCAAACAAAGAATCTTATTCTCAAGAGAATGACATGCACGTGGTCTGAAATGGAAAACAACATTATAACCAATAAACCAGTTCGTATTTTAAGAATCGTTTCCAGATCGCATGTGATTTCATCCCGAATTTCTCTCTTTTGTTTAAACCTTCTTTTGATCTTAACTAAACAAAAGCAGGTGCAAAATTCGGGATAAAATTGCATGCRCACTGAAAACGATACTTCAACCACGAACTGGCTATTATAGGTAAAGAGCCGGGCTAATTCACTGAAAATCATATCGAGAGATAATATTAGAACATGATATCCAAATCCTTATGTTGAATTGTACGTATCCTCGCGCACTTGAAAATTTTGATATTGATATTTGCGCAACATTAGTTAATAACTATTATCGACAGCTGCGATTGAATACCCTAGCCGAAGTTGGTCGCCCAATATGGCTGACAGAAGTCGACATTCTAAACAAGGATCCAGTCGGACGAGCTAATAGTCTAGAGGCTTTGATGCGGACGGCGTTTAGTCATCCTAGTGTACATGGTATAATGTTCTGGGCGTTTTGGGATCGTAATTCGTGGAGAGGACCTGATGTAGCTTTGGTTAATGGAGATGAGTGGAAGGTAGATGATTATATATATATATATATATGAATGCCAATGTGGTCGTAAGATTATATGTGGAGTGCTGCAAAGACCTCTTCATTAAGGCTTGCCCATTTTAGACCACGTGTCATTCCTTTGAGTATTATTTCCTTGCTTAATGGTTGTGCATAATGAGAAGAGACATGAATATGAATACAACTCAAACAAATAATATTATTCTTAAAAGAATGACACGTGGTCTGAAATGGGAAAATATCACACCCAAGGTAAAGAGGTCTGTCATGGCTGCCATCACGTGATGGTGCAAACGTACTCTCTATTAAATTTACGAGCTATTTTTAGTGCGCGGTTAAATTCTGTAGCGCAGCTGACGGAGATTTCAATTTCATAGCTCAACGCAGCAGGTGAAAGATACATCAAACTACTAAATCAATGGACAACACGAGAGATTTTATCCCCAACCACCGTCGACAAGCACGGAGCAGAAGTGCGCTTTTCAGGTTTCTATGGCGACTATGATGTAACTGTCACTCTCCCAGGAGGTAACGTCATCAAGAAACAGTTTACTCTGGAGCCTGGGTACGATGAATTTAATTTGAAGATCGATATAGGTGAGTAGATAAATTAAAGGAAAAAAATAGAAGTTATTGGTCGCTGCTGTGTAAAGGTTTTCATGGAAGACTGGGAACAAACTAGGCACGCGAGGAATCATGGGATCATTAGACGCATGCGCACGAGCAGAAAATTCCGTCATCTTGACTACCTAAATAGGTATCACATTTCCTTGTCGAACAAATAGAGTTTAGTCTAAAGACTACGAATATTATAAGTTTTAGGCTAGAAATAAGAAGCTAAGCTGTTGCTAGTTTTAAAATTCACTACTTACTACTATTTTTAAAAATTATTTTTTCCCAACTAGAACTTTCCAATGATTATTTGAAATTTCCACTACCTTGTTGTTCGGTGCATTAAATATACCATTAAATATACCATTCGTAAGTGAATTATTATTTAGAACCATTTAGGATATAGTGGATATTACAAATAGTATAAAAAATAATATAGCTAACGTACCTTTATCGGAGCACTTTGGTGTGTACTATTATACATCATTCGCTTCTTGTTTTCTTTGGTAAGGCCTTCAACTGAAATACTCGCCAAGTTAAACGTTTGTGACTCGTAGAAGCCCTTGAAGGCTTCTTGTTCAACTCGTTCGTTCTTCCAGTTAATTCATATTGTGGCTCACAGTTCTTGAACGATTGAACCAAGTGGCGTTCAAACCCAATCGAACAAACACATTCAACAGCAGATGAGAATTCCAATGCCTTGGTTACGACATATAACACTTCATTCATTCACAAAAACTCGTGAAACGTGAACACTCCTGAAACGTTTTGAAACGTTTTTTGAGGTTCTTTGTTATCACGTTTACGCCTCACACTTTGAAAAATAGTTCCCTGAATATTTTTTAATCAGGTAGTTAGGTCACGGCGCGGGAAAAATTAATGTTTTTGAATTRATTGTGGAAATTAAAATTGCATCGCCAAAATTCACGGTACCCTTGCGCCAAATATCATCAATAGTAGTTCAAAATTAACATAATGTTCGGGGCAATATCATTTAAAAAAATGCGATATCCATGCGTAACGTTGCGTCTTGAAGTGTTTGTGTGACGAGACACCCAGGTTGCCATGCCTACAAAACTAAAAGTTGCACTGACAGAGCCGCGAAAATAATCACGTTTATCTCATCCATTCTTAGCAGGTAATCAACCTTACTTCCACACCAGTCCACCACCCGTACCACAGGAAACCCAAGACTTTACGAAACAACTCAACAATATCACAACTCAGTTGAACAATCTTCTATTGGAACAAGGGCCCGACCAAAGACTACCAGACGAAGGGGTTAGAGAGGAGGAAACAGGATGAATCGCGTCTTGCAATGCAAAATAATCCTGATAAATCTGCGCCAGAATTCATTGGAGGTGTACACGTCACGCGTGACGTTATTTTGGTGAGCAATACACTGTGGTATTACTACGTCAAGAAATAGATTCAACGTCTGTCTACAACACACACTTAGAGTATCGACTTATAATAAGCTTAAAACTTCAAAACTATTTGAGGGGGAAAAGGGAGGAAAGGATGAAAGAAAGAAAAAGAAAAATTAAAACCATTTTTATTTGAAGAGATAGCTTTTATTTGGTGACAAAGATCAACTAACATTGCTTGAGAAACTAATCATATGAAAGAACTGTTTGCGCATGAATGACGTCAATATCACGTGATCTTTGGTCAAATGAAAAATTCCTGAAAATTCGCCACTCTCGAATAATTTATGCATCATGTTTTTTAAAAAAAGATTCGACTTAATTTATATTAAAGTCGCCCAAAACTTTAGTCAATTGTAATTTACAAATGTTCTGATTTATTTCTTGATATATTTTAGATAGCAGGATTAGGTCTTATTAGGATTTCGTTAGAGTTTCGTAAGGTCTTCGTTAGGTTATCGTTAGAGTTTCGTAAGGTCTTCGTTAGGTTATCGTTAGAGTTTCGTAAGGTCTTCGTTAGGTTATCGTTAGAGTTTCGTTAGGTCTTCGTGTGGCACTCGGAAGGAATCGCTAGGGTTTGATACCCACGCGGACACTGATGAAAAACGCACTGCGCATGCGTTGGGAGAAAAACAAAATGGCGGACAATAACAATTGATCACATCTAAAGGTAGGTTTTATTTTAACCGACAGGGCTATTTTTTAAATATTCGTTTTGGAATTTTACAGATATTTTTGAATTTCTTTACATAGAATCCGACCATGTGATTATCTGCTAATTAGCCATGCTGAATGTCGACGTCGGGCCGCGAGTGGCGGCATTTTCAAAGATTATTTTTGCTTTGTATAAACAAAAGTTTTTTTGTATAAATCAGCAGTGTATCACTATCGAAATTATCTTGCTATTGCGAAAAGGACAACCTTAAGTTTTCAGCATTTTTCTTAAGTTTTGTGATTTTGTAAAACAATCAAAACACCGGCATCAAAAACATAAGTTGCCCTTAGTTACGCTACGCCATCTCCGAGCGTGCGCAGTGCGTTTTTCACCAGTGTCACCCACACGTGCCTCTACCAAATGTTTTCAGACTGATTCGGCAGTGTATATAACATATTATTTCAAAAAGTTAACCATCCCTCAATTATAAATACCTGTATAATATAACAATATATATTCTTAAAATAGCATTTAAAAAATTGTTAATAAAATTAATTTTTTTTTACTTGAAGCTTGGTTCTGGATGCGTTTGGCGTTAGTGTTATAAAAATATTAACTAAATCTATTGAATATTATTCGAGCCTTCTGCTATGGAATATGAAAGGGCTCGTCGTAAAGAACAGACGCTCAGCATTGCCAAGCCTTAAAATGTAAATATATGTAGTAAGGCTCCTGTGAAATGTCGAACTCATGAGCCGAACCTAATGACATATCATTGTTTAGGTTCGGCTCACGTGAAGTTCGACGTTTAACCTGAGCCTTATATAACCATGTCGTGTGCAACGAATAATCTCTACTAAATTTGCTATTGTAGCCTCGTTTTGGTGTCGTCCAGATCGAGGCTAAAGAGGCAGTTCATTTGCATTTGTATCTCTAATTGTCCCTAATTTACGTAAAAATGAAAATTGCTTACATGAAGTTTTGGTACTGTGATTCCTCAAACGAGTCGAGGTAAGCCAAGATTGCATGGTAACACATTTTGTATTGGCCCTGAAATACATACAAAAAAACACGTGTTGATCGATGTATACGGATGTTGCGTGACGTGCCTTAGAGCAGTTTTCGTGTTGACTGTCGTGACACGGCACGAATACTGTCGTGACACGTTGCGAAAAATAAAGTGTCACGGTCACGGCAAGGCAGGCAAACGGCACTGACTTTTTTATTGTCATACGAAATCTGCTCTAGCGCGCCGTGCCGTGGCTGTGATCACGGTTACAGCAATAAGTCGGTCAATACGCGACACGGCACGTGTTCTTACGATACGTTTTACTCACCAGCGTCTCTACCATGCCAGGTCTCTGTGTTCTTAACATTCTTGCTGTTATGAACACGTCTAGACTTCCTTCCAGCTTGACTCTCTCCAATGAAGTAAACAGTGTACAAAACGCACCTGTCCGTCCGATGCCATTACTAGCAACAAGATATGATTGGTTAATCTACGAGGAAAGGTTTGGTGTTCACGAAACGCTTTAGAGAGGGTTGTGTGACAAGTGTCTGCCTGCAGCGGACCACGGTAAGACGGTTAACGTCGTCATACAAAGCTTTGGCGAAGATGAATACATAATTGCTCACGAGAATAAGAGGGGAAATAGATGGATCAATATAAATAAATTAATATATGGGGTGGTGAGTGGATGGATGAATGGACGGACGGACGGA